TAATCGCGGTCCTGTACCGGCCGGCCTCCCTATACCACCCCCAGCGGCGGGCTATACTGCACCTGAAAACGCAACGCCGAAAAATACGGGAGAAAAACCCCGTCAACAATAAGCCGCCGTTTTTCGACTTAACGCCACTGAAAGCCAAATCACTGCAACTCATACTCGTGTCCACCTGTCTGTTCAGTTTTGGCTATTTGTCGCCACTTTTCTATTGGGTATCAAAAGTTTTTTGATAAAAATATTTTTTTTCAATACTTATGGAAATAATTTTTTTCGTACTCAAGGTTAATATAGTCGATGAGAGCGCTAGAGGTACGGTAGTTATAAAGGGATCGCCCGTACCTAGCGGTGTTATATTTAGGCATATGTACTTTGGTGTGTGCCTGATCATTGGTGTCGTGATAGTTGGTTACCTTACAGTGAGCCGACGGTTCAAAAATCGTGTGAATAAACAATATTTGTGTCAAATCTCGATGTTTGCCACCGTATTAGCGCTCATATCTAATATGTATTACTATGAGAGCGCGTTCATGGATGTCATATCTATAGCCATGTATGGGATGGCTATCGGAGCGTTCAATTATAGCCACAAAATGCTAGTTTATAGTATCATCAGGGCCAAAAATTTTGGAAAAGCCTGGTCCTACGTACAGTTTGTTCAAAGTTTCTCGATATTCCTGGGAGTTCCCATATCAGGTATGTCCGATTATATGTTTATCTTGATTATATATTGTATACACAATATGCTAGCGAAATTATTGAGTATTTAAGGTATATTTAACTTTGCTAGTACCAATAAGTTAGAACTTTATTTTAATGGAGTCTGAATATTATATTAAAAAATAATTATTTATTTTAAAGACTGTAAACTTGTATTTCATATAAAATAATGTCGGTTATTATAAAATTATTATTATTGGTATATGCTATGAAAATGTCTGTGTATTTTAAATTTAAACATGATACCTTATTGAAAGCATTTATTTTTATGTTTAAATACAATACTTTATAAAATTTAATATAACTACGCTAGTCATAATAAATGTGCTGCATATTAGTATTCAAGAATTATTTAATATTATGTAACTCGAGTAAGAATAGAGAGAATTCATAATATTATTCTTATGGTGTTTCCGCCAATGATTTATTTGTTGTCAATTTTTTGTTGCTCTCTCTCTCTCTCTCTCTCTCTCTCTCACTCTCTCTCTCTCCCTCTCGAGGTTTGAGATAAAGTTTTATTATAAGACTAGGAATTGCTATTTTTATAGCCAAATATTAATGGCATTCATTGTCTGATATAATACACACGCTTTTCGCTATATCTGTCTATGCATTCATTACTGCAACACAGAAAGCGACTAAAATTGTCGCTTCATATCCTCATTACTAAATCAAATCCGCAAACTAATAAATATTAAACACAATACTATATATATATATTCAGGTCATATAAACGTGTGGTGCGGCGCCGACACTACACCATATTATGGATTCCTATTCGCATCGGTCATGTGTCTGTCCGGCACTCTATTGTTGTTGGCGTTGAATCCGGAATTCAAAAGTCTGTCCCAGAATTTGAGCGACAAATTACACGAATTACATCACCATTCGTGTAATGCCTCATCCGATATACAGCATTTGAATGCCGTCACATCGCCTAACCCAGGTATGTACGTAGGGCTAGATATTTATTCTTAACCCTGGTATGTAAGGCTAGGGTTTTATTATTTTGTGTTATTTTTGTGGACGATATGCGCGAATATAAATGACTTTATTTTGTGTTGACATCTGAGTTAAACCATTAAAGAAAAACAACAAACTATTCACTAATGTTAAGAAAAACAATGAATTATATCACTGGAGAAAAGCCTTTTCCTATGATTGTGTTGTTTGTCAGTAAATGATAGCAATAGTGAGAGATATAAATATAAATAGAAAGCACACAAGAATTGCGATAAATTCCCAGAATATTCTGTACTATATATATATATATATATATAAGTTTCGTAAGAATTTTGCTTTTTTATCGTTGACTCCCTTCTAGCCATCAATTATTCTCGTTCTTCAGACTCCGGGGTTCAGTCACATCAAGACACCAGCCATTGCTGTAATTGCGGCCAACGATTGCTGTCAATCGATGATAATAACGAGCCGTTCAAAGAGTACCACAGTATGAAAGCCGCGGATGAGATGCTGAGATCGCCGACTCTTAGAGCGGATCCACTGCTCAATGAGTCGGACGATGATGAGGATGAAGAGGACGAGGAGTTCCGGGACCTGAAGCTCCAGAATCCGGAGTTTATAGCCACGTATATGAGCGATGATATGTATAACTATTATCTTCGTGGAGATGTGGAGGAAGGCGTGGCTCTGTTTGATCCAAACAAGGATAAGATGATCGCCAATGATGTCGATTGTCTGCACGGAAGACAGCATTTGATGAGCAGTTGTGATACGAGTGACGATAAGGTCTTAAAGCCGCTGAAGAGGACGATCGAGACGGTGGCTGAAGAGACATCGAGTGGCAGTTAGAGGGGAGATAATAGGGGTGAATAAATGGAGCCAGATCAATATTTTTTGTAATATTGTCGTACAAAATCGATATTGTTTTTTTCTAATCAAACTTAAAACATATTTAATTTATTGCTATCTATGATACTGTATATCTCTATGTTGTGTGTAATACACTGTTGTATTATCTGTGATATGATGAACAAGAATTCAATAAAACATAGAAAATGAATATTTAATATAGTGTTCAATATATGGATGAGAGAGAGAGAGAGAGAGAGAGAGACTCTTTTTTCAAATGATATATATTTTGCCGAGTATAGCAAAAAATGGGAACAAAAAGCTCTTATTCAATCAAACTCTTGTCAAAACAGCAAATGTGCGAAAAAGTTATCAATCAATAAATGATTGAAACAAATATTTTTAGTTTTTTGTGTGTTTCTCCCTCTCGTCTCTCGTCTCGTCTCTCTCTCTCTCTCTCTCTCTCTCTCTCTCTCTCTCTCGTCAAAGGCTTTTCGCACAGAATTTAATTTCCGGAATATTATTACGAAAACAATTATATTCGGAAAACAAACGTGTTTTTCACGGCACTTGTAATTCAAACACAGAATCCTAATTATAGATATGATTATAGGCTCTCATTATTACTATTAATTATTACTATTGTCAATGAACCCATAATAAACTAGTGTCACTAAAATAACTTACAATAACATGGCTAATGATATATCGATTAATCACAAACGCCTTGTTAACTAAACCCCTTTGATTACACATTAATTTTATGCTACTTTTCGCCCAATAGTTAAGTCTAGCCGTGCCTTTCAAACCTCATATTTCTTTAGCGTTTGATTTATATATTTATTATATTTGAAGTAATAAATAATAAATAGCTATGAAATATATTTCAGACAGAATATATTTCATATCGAAAAGTAGGATATATTTTATATGTTATCTAAATTTATTCACTTTATTCACGTAAACCCTATGAATTCACTTCAAAGTTAATTATATATTCACGCAAAGAATTACATGAAAATAAATTGAAAACAATTTCAAATTATACTTCAATTTCAGCGTCAATTCGGTTACAAATTATTACAAAAATATTGTGTTTTTATCTCATGTTTGATATTAATTTTAATCAATTTCGAGGAATTTTGCTATTTTTTGCAAACTTCTAGCTCTTTATATTCCGTGTGTTTTACGTCATATTCAATGTTATAATCTATACTTCAAAACCATACACTACTTGTCTGTATTGAGAAAATACTCTAACAAATGAATATATTTGAAGTATTGGTGAAACTAGTAACCAATATATCCTATACCTCGTTAAGACTTGGTTTACACGTATTCATCGTTAGTCTCCCCTAAGTATACCATAAATGCCAATCAATTGCTGGTATATATCAGGGAATGAACACCAAATTTCGAAAAACGGCGGCTTATTGTTGACGGGGTTTTTCTCCCGTATTTTTCGGCGTTGCGTTTTCAGGTGCAGTATAGCCCGCCGCTGGGGGTGGTATAGGGAGGCCGGCCGGTACAGGACCGCGATTAAAAAGGTGGCGAATAGGGCGCAGGTGATCAATTGTAGGCCTGCCCGCCAATGCTTGAATATTCTGTGTGTATATAATCAAGGTAATACAGTATTACAATAGTAGGTAAAAATATCAGGGTGATTGTCGTGCACATTAATTGATAATGGCCGTGAAATTATATTAATACTACTGTATATTATAATAAAATGTATTTATACTATATTAGCTAGTAACTTTATTATTTTAATGATTAATTCCTTGTATATTCTGTGCATAACAATATACCACATAGCTAGGCGATTATCGTATAATTAAAAATGGCTATAAAACTAATAAAAATTATTATGATAAATAATTTAATTATAAGCCAGCAACTTTTATAAGCCATTCAGCTTACCCAATACTCCAACTGAGGAAAGGGGTCATGAATGCGATGCCGACGCCTAAAGAGCTCTGAACGAAGATCTCGACGAAATAGCGTCTCCGCTTGAAATACTGGCCCACCATTAGGTTAGCCGACTCGCGGGCGATGCCCACCCCTATGGACATGAATATGGCGTAACTGAGGAACACCTGATGAAACTGGGAGGCGAATGAGGCGAACAGACAGCCCAGGGATGCCATCAAACCGCCGGCGATGGCCGTTAGTCGGGCGCTCTTCCGTCGACACCACGAGACGATGACCGGGGATATGAGATATGACAGGCCGAGGGACAGGGAGCCCAACCATACTATTAGATTTGCATAAATACATATAAATTAAGTCATTGCTGGGAAATGTGTTTTTTGGATGACTTTCAAGTATATCTCATATCTTATGTAATATATTATGTGATATAAATCTAGAGTTTTTTATATTATATATATTTTTGAATCTATAAATAAATCAAATACAGTATATGTCTTGATGTTATACTTTATTGAAAGTTATCTATACTGGGAAACCATGAAATAGTTTCATACGATACGAAATGTACGGCATTTTGCACTCAAGTCTATCATAAAATCATATTTTATTTTATATAAAAAATATTTCAAATATGGATTAGTTTTTATAATAAAAGCATATTTTTTATGTTGCTAGCAATATTATGTGTAAAAATTTTCTACCACTACTGTTTGTAATTCATTAGATTTTTAACAAAATTTATTAAAAACATAAGCTTGTAAAAAAATTAATAAGTTTTTATACAAAAACAAAAAACATTATATAAAAACTTAATCCCTATATTGAAATGAAACACAGAATTAAAGTCTGTTGTAAACACTCTAACCGTTATTAATGCACTCAAACATGTAATCCGAAAAAGATTACGACTTTTTTCTCATATGCCTTATTGCAGACTCCTCAAAGTTTGACTCTCGGAGTCAAATTGTTTACACGTTTTTAATATCCTTTATATGTTTGGCTCACAAATATAGTAACACATCAGAGTGAGTCAGAAATATAAAGCAAAAAATTGTAAAATAAAAACTGTAATTTTTAAATAAAGCATTTATTTTAGTATTTTTATGTCTAAAATAATGACTAACTCATAGAAATATATCTGATTAGTTTCTATCAGTTAAGTTCGCGAATATTTTT